TACAGCATGGGGGGGGGGGCAGAGCAAAGAAAACATAGAGCAAAGAAAGGAAAAACTTTAAAATGCTGTCTAGCTGGCTGGGGTTAACACATTCTGTTTTTTAGCTTTTTTCTTTCTTCTTTTTCTTTGTGGGTGGTGCTGGGGGTAGTGCCAAGTAGGTATTCTACTACTAAGTTATAACCCCAGTCTTCCAATTTTGACTCCTGTTTCTGAAATCCCTCTCTATACATGCTGAATCTTCAAGTCAAAGCCTTGGGTTTTCCCCAAGGTCCAGCATTTAAGGGGATCCACATACCTGTGCCAAGGGAGATGTCAAGTGCAGATGTCACTGTTCTCCCTCTCCCCCAGAAGAGCTGCTTCTGGGGGAAGGAAGGATAGAGATGGCCTTAATCTAGTGACCTTTCCATTTATGTTCCTTTTCTGTAACTGAGAGCCCCAGAGTGTGAGGAGAACTGAAGAGAAGACCAGACCTTCTTAAAAACAACAAACTGCTATCCACTGACAAAAAAAAAAAACAGAATTATCATCGATATTTTTTTCATCAGTAAACATGATAATTTCACTTGCCTCCATGCTAGAAGAGTATTTAGTAATAGCCATGTAAAAAAATAGAATTCTCAGGGCTGGGAGTAGCTCAATAGCAGAGCACTTGCTTACCATGCATTCAGCCTTAGATTAGATCTCCAGCACAGCAAAAGTAATAATAATTGTAATTATTTAATTAATTGATTAATTTTTTCATGGGATGAAATGTTTTTAATGTTTTAACAAAGAACAATAAACTTCAGAAAAGTGACAATATAATGAGAGGACAATTTCAGGCATTAGCCCAAAGCAGGGAAAACTAGGAAGAAATGAAGAGTGAGGTCTGCTCACAGACTCCTCTGGTGCCTTCCCTGCACCATCTCTGAATTGACAAACACTGTCTATTGTGATTTATTCTCTGACACACAAATGCATATGATTTGCTGATTTGAAAAAAAAATTTAAAGATAATGTTAAAAGCAAATATTAAAATTTAAGTTAAATTCTAATAGGTAGTCAAGTTTAAGAAGAGAAGCAGTGCCTATGATTTATACATTAAAAAATATTTACTAAATGCATACTATGTGTTATGTGCTATTCCTGGTGTTAAGAAAATTTGTATTTAATTTCAAAATATCTGGAGATTTTCCAGGTACTTCTGTCATTTATTTCTACTTTAACTCTCAAGGGGTTAAAATTTGTACAATTTCAATATTTTAAGTTTGTTGAGATCTGTTTTACAATGCAGAAAATAGTGTATCTTGGTGAATATCCATGTGTACTTAGAAAGAATGCATATTCTGCTGGCATTGAGTGATATATATGTTCTGTAAATGTCAGTAAGATCAAGTTGATCAATTATATAATTCACATCTTCTATATCTTTACTGACTTTCTTTTTTTTTCTTAAAGAGAAAGGGAGAGAGAAAGAGAGAGAGAGAGAGAGAGAGAGAGAGAGAGAATTTTAATATTTATTTTTTAGTTATTGGCGGACACAACATCTTTGTTTGTATGTGGTACTGAGGATCGAACCCGGGCCGCACGCATGCCAGGCGAGCGCGCTACCACTTGAGCCACATCCCCAGCCCCTCTTTACTGACTTTCTAACTACTAACTCTTATAAGTACTAAGAAGACTGAAGTCTCCACACAGTACTATAGGCATGCTTGCAAACATACAATGTCATAAGCAAAATTAAATACAAATTATATTTTAGATTTATTTCCATATTATAAAAATATAGCATATCCATTGTAGAGAAATGTAAAAATTCAATAAAATGCTTATCTGAACACCCATGTTGGCTTTACTCCTGATTCTGACTTGAATGAAAAGAGGTGTGGAGTGTGTCAAAATGGTATGGCAATGATACAGTCCTAGCCCAACCCACCATCTCAGATCCACAACCAGAAATCATGCTGGAATACACTGGCATCCCAGCCAATCTTTCTCAGAAGTCATCAGACATTTACCTATGATAGTTCTACTAGACTTGAATTTTTTCTCCTACTACCTGGCTCTCTAATACTGTCTAGATGTCTAAAATCTTTTCAAAATTTAAGAATCTTAAGAATTCTTTTTTCATCCTACAAGATCCCACTGTAATCTGATTATAGTAAGATATTTTGCCACCTAAAACTACATTTTATCACTATTAAAATCAATATTAGGTGAAGGGGAGTGAAGGCAGGGGAGGGGACATGGGGATAGGAAGGATAGTAGAATAAACAGATATTATTACCTTATGCTAACCAATGTGATTCTATATGTACAATCAGAAAAATGAGAAATTAGACCCCATTTATGTATGATATATTGAAGTACATAAGTGCATTCTACTGTCATGTATAACTAATTGAAACATACAAAAAAATTATTAAAAAACAATATTAAAGCTGGGCACGGTGGCGCAGGCCTGTAATCCCAGGAGGCTGAGGCAGGAGGATCACGAGTTCAAAGTCAGGCTCAGCAATGGCGAGGTGCTAAGCAACTCAGTGAGACCTTATCTCTAAATAAAATACAAAATAGGGCTGGGGATGTGGCTCAATGGTCAAGTGCCCCTGAGTTCAATCCCTGGTACCCAAAAAAAAAAAAAAAAAAATTTAAAAAGAGTTAAAAGCAAATATTAAAATTTAAGTTAAATTCTAATAGGTAGTCAAGTTCAAGAAGAGAAGCAGTGCCTATGATTTATACATTAGAAAATATTTATTAAATGCATACTGTGTGTTATGTGCTATTCCTGGTGCTAAGAATAAAAGTTAAAGTAGACTCTATGTAGTCTACTAAGGAACACACAATAAACCAATAAACATACTATATTACATGCTAGAGTAAAAACTGTCATCAAAAAACATAAAGCATAGTAAGAATCATAGGTGTGATTAACATTTACCTGGTTAGTTCTCAAGTCCTCAGGAAAGAATAAGCCATACTACTATTTAGAGGAGGAATATTTCAGGTGGAGGAAAAGTGTTGGTAGGTTTGAGGAAATGCAAAGATGCATATGATTTGCTGATTTGAAACACATAACGAACTAAAAAATAACATACCGTATTAAGAAATTTAGTTCCATATGAAGCCCCTTATTCAAAGTATAGTACAAAAGCTTAAAACTTCATGATTTTTCACTTAAATGAGGTAATTAGTCTAGAAAAATTCTAACATGTTCTATAGGAAGTATTTTTCAAAAGCCTTTTAAAACCAGCACTTACCTGTCACAAAAAAACTAATACCACACTGTATTATATAATAGTATGTATAATATATATACACACACACACTATGTAGTTACATACTTATGCATTGTATATTTTGCCTTTATTTATAACAGAAAAAACAAGTCAAAGACAGAAATGTTGAGATACTAAGTACCTATTTTTTCAGAGGCCTCTATTAAAAACAAAGAAAAGCAGAGTGCCTTTGTCACTAAAGAAGATAAATCAGCTCAGTAAAAAAAAGCATTAGCCTACAATTACTATTTAAAAGGAAACAAACTTTTAAAAAGTGAATTTTCATATTTTAAACAAGCTTAGGTAAAGCAACAATATGAATTAATAAAAATAAGCATAAAAACTTATATTCAATCAAATATCTCTATGAAATATTTTTAAATTACCTTCTTCTCCTTGATCAGTGAAAACTAGAATTCAAATTTATCATTTTAACCAATGACAAGAAAAATTTAAACATGAGCACCACCCACGATAAATTTTATAGTACTTGACTTTAATCCAAATTATGGATTAAAAAGCCATTAAATTATGTAAAACTTTTTGTATCTTGACTTTTTTTTTTTTTTTTTTTTTTGTATTTTCTCCCTTGACTTCCAACTTGGCTTTATAAATCTCAAAAGCTGTGTGGTGGCTCATACTATTTAATACATGCTTTTTTTTTTTTTTTTTTGGGGGGGGGGTGCTGGGGATTGAACCCAGGGCCTTGTGCATGTGAGGCAAGCACTCTACCAACTAAGCTATATCCCCAGCCCCTATTTACACATTCTTTATGCTGCAAAGATCCAAGATTTTAATTTTCCAAAAACAAATCTAAAAATTATAAAATCATAACCCAGTTTCATCTCAGGGTAAGGAATTTTCTGTCTAGATGAGATATGACTAAAACTGAAAAGCCTAGCAATTCCAAATGTTGCTGAGGCTGTGAACAAGTAAAAGTCTCCCATACACTGCAGGTAAGAGAGTAATTTAGTACACACTTATAGGATACAGTTTATACATCACAAACCCTTGCAATATCCCCCTCATCTTTAGAGTTCCTGATCACAATGCCCACAACTGAAAAGTGGAGGTTTTCTTACTGGGTTTCTTACTCGTATTATCATTACTACCATTCCAACCATCCCCAAATGGCTGAACTCTGGTCATTTGAAGCAAACCAAATCCTACTCTGTACAAAACAGCACTGAACACGGTAACACTGTATCTGAACCTAAAATATTTACAAAAGTGACAACTACTACAGTAAAACAAACTTTGTAGAAATAGACACAGGTAATTGCATTCAGTTTTACTTCCTAGGTTATCTCAGTGTGACAAATGTGATATAAAACATACACAACGAGGGGCTGGGGTCACAGCTCTGTGGTACAGCGCTTGCCTCACACCTGTGAGGCACTGGGTTTGATCCTCAGCACCACATAAAAATAAATAAAAATGTTGTATCCATCTACAACTAAAAAAAAGTGTTTTAAAAAACACACAATGAGTAAAAGAAGTGGGGGAAAGTGTGACTACAGGAACTTCTAAAAACATTTAAATCTGCCTCAATCTCAAATTATGAAAAAGAGTAAAATAATCTCAGCAGATGAACTAATTTAAGAAAATATCAATATTTGCTAGAGTAATTAAACTGTGCTACCTTAAAAAAGTCATCTGTTTTATGTCTTCTTCTATTTTTATTACTTGGTATTATGTATCAGTAAACTTAAAAGAAAGAAAAAGGAGAGATAAAGAAAAACTTACTGGGATTGAAAATTCCTTGGCCAAATACTTCAATAGGGATGATTCTTTGGCCAAGAATTTGTTTCTTTCCCTCATATTGCCTTGAAGTTGGGTATCAAACTCCTTTCTGACGACAGAAGCAACAGAGTCGACAATCACAAGTTTAATTCCTTTTGAAATAATTTCTTCTTCCAAAGATTCAATCCTATAAAAGCAGAATTTGTAAAATAATGAAAAAATTTAAGATATAATGTAAAAATAGATTGTTATGAGGGTTAATCAAAAATTTTAAATTGTTACAAAAATTGCAAATTGTTCTTCCTAAAGTTACATTGATGACTGCAAAAATCTCTTAACATCATTTATTTTCAGCTCTTCTACACATATTACACTTTTCTGGATATAGAGCAAAATGTTTTCATTTAGTTTCGGAATTCCTTGATTGTCCCATGAAACTGCCAAAGCTCCAATTTTAGAGAAACACTACTTATTGCAGCCATTCTCCAAAATGGCTCCCACTCATTCCCACCTCCTGCTATTTCACACCCTTGGGTAGCTCCTTCCCACACTGTAGCAGAGTTGGTCTATGTGGCTAATAGCATACGACAAAATAATGGTACATCATGTCTAACAGTAGACTATAAACATCTAGAGTTTCCATCTTGAACATTCTTTCACTTGCCCACACTCACATCACTCTGCAGGAAGCAGGTTGCTGTGTTTTGAGTCTACGGATACATCCACTTGGTGAGGAATAGAGGCCTTCCAACAACCACATGAGTGACCTTGGCCTCAGATTTCACAGCATAATTGAACCTTGAGATGACTACAGCCCTGGCCAACAGCTTGACTATAACCTTTTGAGCAACTTTGAGCCAGAAACTATTAGCTAAGCTACTCCCAGATACTTACCCTCAGAAACTATGTAAGATAATATATCTGCTGGGTGGTTTTATTATTGTTGTTTTGGGAGGATTTTTGTTTGTTTGTTTGTTTTGGGTACCAGGGATTGAACTCAGGGGCACTTAACCATTGAGCCACATCCCTAACCCTTTTCTGTATTTTATTTTGAGAAAGGGTCTCACTGAGTTGCTTAGGGCCTCGCCAAATTGCTGAGGCTGGCTTTGAACTCACAATCCTCCTGCCTCAGCCTCCCAAGCCACTGGGATTACAGGCATGCACCACCATGCCCAGCTTATGTTTGCTGTTTTTAGCTGATAAACTTTGAAGTAATTTGTTAATGAAATAGCAGACATTATACCACTTATGTGATATCTAGAACATTTTATTCATTGATATTTTTTTCATTTTTAAAGAAGTCCTTCAAAGGCTACAGAAAATTAAAAAATGAAATAATTATTGCCCATAATTTGCATATGTAAAAATTTTTTGTTCTTACTCAGAAGCTGAAAACATGAAAAAAACATCTTCAAAGCATTACAAAACTGTCAAAATATTAGACAACACACCTTTGTAGAACTTCATCACAGGTGAGTTCCCGGTAAAGATGAACTTTACTACTTGTCCAAAGTAATTTTTCTTCAGTGTTAAAATATCTGGGAAAACGGGATTCTGCTATTTCAACCAGTCTATAGGGAAAAAAACAGTCAATATATTTAAACCACTACTGAGACTCTAATAAGAACTGGAAAGCTTATAAACCTTATTGATAGAGCAGACATAAGCAAAATAGCTTAAAATACAAGTTTTGAATGTAAGCTCTCCTTTTGAGCACTTATCAGAGGTTACATTAGAGGTTACATGAGACCAGTGAGGGCTTTTAGGTCTTCTCTAATTTTGAGCAAACAACAATGTCTCCAAGATCTATTTTTCTAGGAATTTTTTATAAATGATATTTTATCAAGCAACTAGAAGATATATTACTAAATAAGAAAAATGCTTTCATTTTCTTGAATTAAAAAAGTACATTTGAACATAGATGGCATATTATCATCCTAATAATCAGACATCAGTAAGTCTCCATATCTTATTCCAGAAAAATGTTTTCTCCATTAAAACCTAATTCAAATAAATACTATCCAATAGTTTCTTGGTAAACAGAAAATTATTATCTAAACAAATGAATACTATTCAGTTGTTTCTAAGTAAACAATAAGTGATCTCTAAACACTGAATTCTGACCACAAAGCTACATCTAACATATGGGGATCAGGCCAACCAAGAAGAGTGACAAGTGGAAATAGGCAATTATTATTGATAGAATAAGATATGGAGAGCGTCACGAGAAATTACAAATGCTTCTGATTTCAAATGTTAAAAATATAACTCTTTAAGTGTAACTGTCTCCCATTTAAAATGACACTTTATCAGTCATACTACTTAGCATGCAAAGGGACAGAGTGGAGAGACGATAAACACTAAAACCATCCTATATTTTATGTTCCATTTAGAAACAAAAAAGTGCAAAAAAGCAGTGTTTTCACCCAAAACAGCTAGAGTTGCAAGAAAAGGCTGATAACTTTAAAGAGACAAACAAAATAATAATAATAATTAATAATCAGAAACAAAAGAGAAAACCCTGAAACACGAAAAGAGAGAAATAAAACTAGTCAACAACTTTTTTAAAAAAGTGTTGACGAAATTGAAAAGAAAAAAACATAATTTGATTGAACAGAAAGCACAAAAAATACTTTAGGAGTAAGAATTATACAGAAGGGGTTTAAAGAGAACAAAATGAATCACACAACCATTCAGAAGTGCTTGAGAGAAGCATAGGGTTTAAAATAGAAGAAGGAAATGAGGCAAGTGAGGGAAGAAAAGAGATGGCACTGGCAAAGGCAGAACAGGCAAATGCTGAGGGCTTGGTAGAAATGTTTTGTTTTGTTTGTTTCTAAACTAGGGCAACTATTTGCTGAGTTTCGTGCAGAGATAACAGTCAGAGATAACATCTAAAAAGCTCTCATGCTCGGAACTCACCAATTTTTATTAGGATAGTATGGCAACAACTACCAGAACCATGGAAGTTTCTCAAAGTAGTTGATCAGGCACAAGATGGAGAGTACCTAACTCATTGGTAACAATAACTCAATGGCTGACAGGCATGAATAATTTTCTGCTCTTTAGCAGCATGATAGATTTCAACTAGTGGCTTGAGTGGTGAAGATTTCTGAAAATTATTGCTGCTACTCATTCTGTTAAGGCTTTTTGGAAGGAATAATGGTCAATGGACATGAACTATCTTTATTCACAGTAACCATTCTAAATAACTATATCAAATGGTTATTTACCTACCAATATGCTGCAATTCTCTGTAAGTTTCACTAAATTATTTTTATTCAACAAAAAAACAAATACAAATGTAGTATTCTACATGCCTTATATTAATCACATTAATTTCTTATAGTCTTTACCACAAAGAATTTTTTCTTTAGGACAAACAAAAAAGAGCTTATCTTTTACTCCCAGGCATTAATTACATAAAATTTGAAAATACTGCCATCTAGTGGCTACCTTTTATTAAAAAAAAATCCTTTGAAATGAAAGGTAAAGATTCATCCATTCCACAAATATTTACTGAGGAGGACCTACAGGCATAGTTCTAGGTGCTGAGGATATGGCAATACAAAGGAATGAAAGGAAGGAAGGAGAAAAAGTAAAGAAAAAGAAAGATCCTTCCCTCATGGAGCTTATATTCTAAGAAAGAAGCAAACAAATACATATTACATGCCATGTAATAAGTGCTCTAAAGAAAAGAGAAGCAGAATGAGGGAACAGAAATGTAACCAATGGAAGCAAATATTATTATATGTAGGGGGATTGGTAAAGCTTCATTTATAAAGTAACATTTGCAGTTTAGGCTTAAAGACATGAGGAAATGAACCATGCAAATATCCAATGGGACAGCACATCAGACTAGAGAACTATAGCAAGTACAAAAGTCCAAATGTAGGCAGATACCTGATGTGTTTGAGGAAAAGCAAAGAAAATAAGTAGATGAACACCAGAAGCAAGAGGGAGAATAATAGGAAATTGTCTCAAGGACAAACCCTGTATAACTGAATTGTGAACAAAAAAAGTTACTTTTTCCATGAAGGCCATTTTTCCTTGAATGAATAAATGCCAAATTATGATTTTACACTTCCAGTGAAACCATGATAATAATTGTTGTCAATGATAAAACTCAAAGTTTTTTTTTAATGAAAAATCAGAATTTTTTCTATCTTCCACCATGAGTTTGATGCTTCCCACTATTTAATTCTTACTGAAATCAGTGGAAATACTGATGAGAGACTTTTTGAGAGTGAATAATAAAATATATCACATTTAGAAGACTTCCATAACTCAGTGAACCAATATTTTCCAAATGAGTAATACTTAATATTATAAAATCATGTACAGGTAAATGTCCACTAAAAGTATAAAACAGATCAAATAGATTTTAATTTAAAATAGGAAAAATTCACTAATACAGTTTCAAAGTTTATCACTCATCAAGTCTTAGCTTAGTTGGGCTGGGGCTGCAGCTCAGTGGCAGAATGCTTGCCTAACATGTGAGGCACTGAGTTCAGTCCTTAGCACTGCATAAAAAGAAATACATAAAATAATAATTTTAAAAAGAATGGTAGGGAAAAAGTCTTAGCTTAGTATCAAAGAGGGAAATTTATAATTGTCTGAAAAGACTATAAAATATTCTTCACTTTCCCAAATACGTATCTGTGTGAGGTCAGATCGTCTTCATATTTTTCCAACAAAAAAACATATTACCAAAGACTGAATGCAAAGCACATTAGAATCCAATAGTCTTCTATTATCAGACTTTAAAAAAGATTTTCAATCTTTTCTCTCATTTTTAAGCTTTGAAAATCTATTTTCCATAAAAATATGTGTGATGAATATTTTATGAATCAACTTATTAGGGTATGGTAACCTGTTATTCAGTTGACCATTATGTATTGCTGTAAAGAGATTTCATGGTTATCAATGTTGGTAACAGCTAACTTTAAGTAAAAGAGATTGTCCTATATAATTGGGGTGGGCCTTTTTCAATAACTTGAAAGGCCTTAAGAGCAAAAGTGAGGCTTCTTTAAAAAAAAAAAAAAAGAAAAGAAAAGAAATTCTACCCATGGACTACAACTTCAAACCTGGCTTTCAGCACTTCCTGAGAGCCTGCCTTATATATTTCAGACAGCCTCTGCAATTGCAAAAGTCAATTATTCCCTGCAATAAATCTCTTTATGTATATACTCTACTGGTTCTACTTCTCTGATGGAGTCCTGCCTGATGCAGTGTATTAACATATTACACATTTATTATTGTGTTTCTACTGAATTAATAATTAAATATTTTTTAAAATCCCTCAGTTTCTAACATGATAAACATCAATCAATATAATCTAAAGAGTTTAAAATCCTGAAAAAAAGTAAGAATTACAGCCATAAAGGAAAAGCTGTAAGACTGAATACAACAAAAAAACATAGGTAACATAACCAAAGTTAAAACATAAATGACAGACTAAAATAAAATCTTATATTCTTTAATATCTAAAAAATACAACGTGTTTCTGTAAGTCCATAAGGAAAAAGAAAAAGAAAAAAGGGCAAAGTGTATTTCTACATAATTTGCCTAAGAAAGATAAACAATGAACATATTAAAAGTTATTAGTCCATAATAGTTTAAAAAATGAAATGTCAACTTTCCCCATGACAAAAATTTAAAAAACTAGAAAACAAAGGGTTGATGAAGACTTTCAAAACACTGTGTATTAGAACATATGAGTACCCCTAGGTTCAATCCCCAGTACCAAAAAATAAAATATTGTGTACAATATTTCTGGAGATAAGTGTGGCAGTTTAAATCACAATTTAAAATAAAACCATCCTGAATAGGTTTCCAATGGATTAAAACCACTAATATGAAAGATAAAACTAAATATATGTTTTAAAAATGTTGCCTAATAGTGAGAGAAAACTTTTTTTAAAAATATTTGTTTTTTAGTTGTAGTTGGATACAATACCTTTATTTTATCTCTTTATTTTTATGTGGTGCTGAGGATTGAACCCAGGGCCTCACACATGCTAGGTGAGCACTCTATCTCTGAGCCACAACCCCAGCCCCAAGAGAGAAAATTTCTTAAGATCCAAAAACCAAAACCATAAGACAAGTTCAAAATTGCAAATTTCTGTTCAACAAGATACCATTAAATAAAGATAACAGAACAGAAAAAGATATAATCTCTGATAGGTGTTATTGAATGAAGGAATGAAAACACTATCCGGATTCTTCCTCAAAGTCAATTATTTTTGCCAATCATAGTTTAGTGGAAAGAGAACATGAATTCACCTCTGAGCTCACTTACTAGCTATATGATCTTAGGTTAATCACATGACTTCTGAGTACCATTTTCCTTATTTCTAAGATGAATATCAACTCCAGGCATGGTAGCACATACCTTCCCAGAGGCTTGGGAGACTGAGGCAGGAGGATCACGAGTTCAAAGCCAGCCTCAGTAACTTAGTGAGGCTCTAAGCAACTTAATGAGACTCTGTCTCTAAATAAAATATAAAAAGAGGTGGTGATGTGATTCAGTGGTTGAGTGTTCCTGGGTTGAATCTCCAGTACCAAAAGATAA